TTAAGACATGCCTTCGTCGTCATATGTGATGATATTCTCTCGGATGTCGTCATCCATTTCATTGCCAAACTTGTGGTGCGGACGACGACTTCGTGTGTAAGCGATTATTACCAAAACCAATACTAAAAGTAGATATGCGTTAATAATCTACACATTTATAAGTTTCAACCACTAAATCAAACCCTTTAACCATATAATGACTCAATGAATACTTAAAAATAATTTAAACGCATATATAACTAGTTATCGAGAGGCCGTCCCATCAAAATAGATAATATTTAGCCAATTATTGATACAATAAATTTGATGAACTGATGGGACGGTAAGTAATAATAAATCTAAAACATAACACAAATTCTTACTTAAATAGAAAATTATTGATAATATAATAATAGCTAAGGCATCGCCGCCTAAGCCTATTGAGGCATAGGAGGGCCCCATAGGGCCGTCATCACAGCTACAGTTATCACATCGATAGCCGTCGAGTGGACAGTCGCACCAATAGCCGCCCCCACTCTCCACATTAAAGCATTGGCCGCCTCTTCCGCACGGATGGTAATCGCACTCGTTTTTGTCTTCACAGCCGAGTCTATTGGCTGTCATTTGTAGACCAGTCGGACAACTGATTGTTGATAATTGGATGCAATACTTTATAGATATTTTCTCACCTTTTAATTCATTACAATTTATTTTGTTTTTTAGAGATTAAACACTATAACCGAAAGCCTTAAGCGAATCACCAGTTTATTAATACAAGTCATGCATTGAGTCAAAGAGCGTTTGGTTTGATTGTTAGTATTAGAGAAAACGTGACGAAGAAAATAGGATTATATACTCACTCATAATGTTTACGAGACATATGATAATCATCATAAGGGCAGCGCTGGACAACTGGACCACTTTGCCCACACGCATAGCAGTGCATAGCTCTCCGGAAAAGTTTTCGTGACAGACACAGTAAAAGCCCTGTCCTTTCTCGAGGTTCATACACGAGCCCCCGTTCTGACACGGATTCAATCCCTCGCATTCATTCAAATCCGTACAGTTCTTGCCGTCATTAGTATTAGTAAAACCGGCCGGACATCTATGTTAGAGCAGAGGCAGCAAAGAGTAAGACCACAACCCATTCAACCCAATCACCGATTCAAGTATTTTATCAAATCATGCATTTTTTAAAAGCAGAGCCCAATTGTTACAAGTTTTCATGCAATTAGTTCTGTATATTTTGTTGTTGTGTTTGTTATAATGGTCTGCGCCTTACCTGCACTCGTGGATCATCCAGAGGTCCAAACATTCAAATGGATGGTTGCAGTGAATGCCTTCGCACGGGTTATTTGATGGACAACCTGTTGGGACACAAATTTATGGTAAGAAATGAACTCAAAAACTTCTAACAAATGATTACCATTTAAGAGATTCCTCCACTCGACTACAGCTGCGTTTTCAGATCCATTTTCCATCGGGAGATACCTGTGATCCAGACGTATATCATTCAAACAGCCCTCTTGGAAGTCATTGTCAACAACAGTGACACCGGGACCGACGTATTGGACGTCTCCGCCCGCGAGAACATTCTGTTTCTCGACCGTAAGGAGTTGATGGTAGCCCTCGTAGTCGATTAACTCATTAAACCTTCGGCCGCCGCCGCCGTCCAGCGATATGGACGCAGTGCTGCCGAAGCGCTGCACGTGAACGCTATGCCACTGACCGTCACTGACAAAGACATACGGCAACCATAGTTCGCGTTCATTAGAGGATTTCATATTATTTAAGTTGTATTTAAAGCGAAGTCTCTTGTCTTTGATTTCGAGGACACAGTACTCGCGGCCGTGCTTTGAGGCCACGCGGAACAGTTCGCCGTGTTTTTGACGCGTGCGGAACATAAGCTCGATGTCGGTCTTGTAGGGGTCGGGTTCGAAGGACAGCGCGTACTTAATGTAAGAGCTCTGTTGAAACATTTTCGATTGGGTCTCTTTGTCGCACCGGACGCCCCACCAGCCGTTGTCGCAGACACACCGCGCCGTGTTATACGTGCCCAAACACTGGCCGTGAGAGCCACACTTCTTGGTGATCGAGTTGGTGTTGCACTGATCGTCAGATGGAGGACATCCGGGTTCGCTTCGCTCCGAACTGCCCGGCGATCCCAAGTCATACATCATTGAGTTGTGGACAAAGTTCTTAATGCAACCGTTGAAGCCTTCCTTCGATGGCAAGTAATGCCAGTCGTAATAATTGTCGATCGGTTTGTGTCCCATAAGAACGCCTCCGATTTGAAGCGGAGAATTCACGTTCAGATACTCATTAAAGCCAACAATTCGGGTGATGTTCTCGCATCGACTTCTGTCAATCTTCACGGGATCCGATTCGTCCACAACAGTTCCCACACAGTTGTCAATCATAAGTCGAGCCGATTCTTTAGTCCAGAATATGTCCACTTTATGCCACTCTCCGTCGTGAAGATCACCCGATGGATTGAGTGTCAGTTCTGCGGTTCCCGAACCAAAGTCTATCAAAAAGCGAATTTTGCCCCTAAAGAGTTCAAGTGATATAAAGTCTCTTATGGCTCGCATTCCCATCACTGGCTCCACAATCGGTCCGTTATAGAAGATGAGACCACT